TCCTCGGAAGGAAGGTTGGGCAATCCTACTTCCGTAGTGATACTGCCTTGGAAACCCAAGGAGGGGTCGCTATGAGTCGGGTCCAACTTGACGGCACATAACAATAACAACAACAACAACAACCTAACAGGACTATTCATAAAGTTGTATGGTAATGTATCAAACAGTGTTTCTTTGCTATTTATAAGGTTTTCCCTGGCCAATTCTTTGAGAAGTGGATGGCCTCTTTCTTCTTCCTGTCTCACTCTGTAAACTGGGCTGATACCTGTGCACCATGTGCATCCTGCTGGGTTTGAAACCCCAGTGGCTCAGCCTCAAAACTCACATCAACAAGTCACCATGGTAGGACAAACCAACAGACAAGTTTGTCTCCCTGTTGGGAACCTCTTGTATCACCTTTACCTGAGTTCCTGTGGCTGACTCCTCCTCTGTCCGAATTCCTGGGAGTTTTAATCCCCTTTCTCTCACTCTCCTGCCCTGCTGCTTTGGGCATGCCTGAATTCCTTCTCCTCACCTGGATCCCTGCAGCTGACTACTCCTCTGTCCAGGTTCCTGGCTTTTAATCCCCTTTCTCCCACTCTCTCACCCTGCTACTTTGGGCGTACCTGAGTTCGCTCTCCTCAGCTGGATCCCTGCGGCTGACTGCTCCTCTATCTAGGTCTCTGGTTTTTAATCCCCTTTCTCCCGCTTTCTCACCCTGCTACTTTGGGTGTTCCTGAGTTCCCTCTCCTCACCTGGACTCCTGCAGCTGTTGTTGTTGTTGTTGGTAGGTGCCATCAAATCGGCTTTGACTCTATGTCCAACAGAATGAAACACTGCTTGGTACTGCACCATCCTCACAATCCTTGTCATACTTGAGCCCATCGTTACAGCCACTGTGTCAATCTATCCTGTTGAGGGTCTTCTCATTTTTTGCTGACCCTCTACTTTACCAAGCATAATACCCTTCTCCAGGGAATGGTCCCTTCTGACAACATGACTGAAGTAGGTGAGATGAAGTCTGGCTATTCTCGCTACCAAAGAGCCTTCCAGCTATACTTCTTCCAGGACAGATTTGTTCATTCCTCTTGCAGTCCATGGCACTTTCAGTATTCTTCACCAGCACCACAGGGCAATAGCATCAACTCTTCTTAGATCTACCTTACTCATTGTACAGCTTTCACATGCATGTGAGGTGATTGAAAACACCATGGTTTGGGTTAGGTGCACCAAGTTTTCGAAGTGACATCTTTGCTAGTCAACACTTCAAAGAGGTTTTTTGAAGCAGATCTGCTCAGTACAATATGACATCTGATTTCTTGACTGCTGCTTCCATGGGTGCTGATTGTGGATACAAGTAAAATGAAATCCCTGACAAGTTCAAACTTCTCTCCATTTATTGTGATGTTCCTTATTGGTCCAGTTGTGAGGAATTTTGTTTTCTTTATGTCAGTGTAATCCATATTGAAGACTGTAGGCTTCAATCTTCATCAGTAAGTATTTCAAGTCATCTTAATTTTCAGTAAGCAAGGTTGTGTCATCTGCATATCTCAGGTTGTTAATGAGTTTTCCTCCAATCCTGGTGACACATTCTTCTTCATAAAGTCTAGTTTCTCAGATTATTTTCTTAGCATACATGTTGAATAAGCATAGTGGAGGGATGTAACCCCAACACACACCTTTCCTGATTTTAAAACATGCAATATCCTCTTGCTCTGTTCTAATGACTTTCTCCTGGTCTATGTAAAGGTTCCTCATGAACACAGTTGAATTCCTTTGCATAGTCAATAAAACACAGGTAAACATCTTTCTGGCATTATTGGCTTTCAGCCAAGATCCCTCTCCCAGCAGCAATGATATCCCTTGTTCCATGTCTTTTCTGAATACAGCTTGGACATGGAGGTTCCCTGTCAATATACTGCTGCAAACATTTTTCAGTCAGCTTCAGCCAAATTTTACTGTGTGTGAGATTAATAATACTGTGAAATAATTTCCACATGCTGTTGGATCACCTTTCTTTGGAATGGGTACAAATATGGATCTCTTCCAGTGAGTTGGCCAGGTTGTTGACAGATCAGATTACTGCCTGTTTAATATTGATTATTGTTTTAATTATCACTTATTATTCAGCAGTATGCTTCTCAAGAGAAAAATAACATACATCTGTCTTCCTTTAGTCTTTTCTTCCTCCATTCTATATGATGCATCATGATTAGGTACATTGCCTCCAAACTGTTTTGTTCATGATATTCCAACTCCTAAAAATTTAATTATCCCTGTGAATACATGATAAAATAGAAAACCTTCCACTTTTGTATTTAGGGCCATCATACAATCTTGTTCTCACTTGTTCTTTCAATTACCCTTCCAAACAGAATGTCTCTGCTCTCATCTACACAACTTTCTCCTTCTTTAACTACATGACTCTGGTTGTGCTTTTTCCTAGGCCTCACATTTTCTCCCTTATTTTTTATGCCTACAAAGTATAAATTCTACCTATTCCAAGACTTTCACTTTTCAGAATTTCCATAAT